GCGGGGGGCGTCGAGGCAGGGGGGGTAGGAGTTCCTCGGAGTCTCTGGCGGGCGCGCGGGAGGCGCACGCGTACGCTCAGGCGGCGGCCCCGCCGGTGGCTGAGGAGAGGGATACGGACAGGTTCCTTGATCTCGACAGGCCGGAGGATAAGCCGAGCGTGTCGACGGTGGAGGACTTTCCGAGGATCGTGGAAGCGCTGTCGTGCTACAAGAGGGTGCACGGGCACCTGAGGATGATCCCGGCGTTCAGGGTGCCGCCGAACGCGCCGTGGCCGGAGAGCCTTTGGGGGATGGATCTCGGGAGGATGGTGAGAGAGAGATAGGGGTTAAGAAGTTTGGCCAGAGAGTGTGCGCGGCAGAGCACGGCGGTGTAAAGGACGGAGAGGGACGGTTCAATGGCAGAAGATGGAGTGATATTAATGTGTGCAGAAGGTTGGGCGAAAAGCGGGCCAGATGTTTAGCGAGGGGTCCGGGTTGTCATCGTGTCGGATGCGGGTGATGCGAGCAAATATCGCCTTGAGATCAGCTATGTTCCTTTGTTGTCGGGGTTTCATGCCTATCTATCCTACTGCTGCGTTCCCTGCATGATGTGCTCACCGCCGTGTGAAACTATTGGCAGAACAGTCCCCGGCGCTTGCGAATAATAACTCCATTGTATTTAGAAGTAAACATGAGGAAAAGTTTCGAGGCTTGGTGGAAGTTAGGGAGGAAAGTCGATCGTCATCTACTCGTGAAGGGTGTGTGGGACTCTGCTCCTTCCTCGTTGGATGTAGGTGCGCGATGCATGCATATTTTGCTGCGCCAAGTGTTTGCTTGCACAGGTCAGACACAACTCAGCGACGTGTGTCATTATCCTCTAATAGCAACAATCCCTCCAAGTTTAGACGCGGATAGTTTTGTTCTTTGCTGGAGATGCATCGAAAAACTAACACCATATCTCTTTCTCTCTCTACCTGTACGGAAAACGCCCACTTTGTTCCACCCTTGGCTGTATTCGTGTACAGGTCCACAGGCTGCGGAACGAGCAGACTGTTTACGATGCGCAATATCCCGAACGGGTGCAACTGCTGCGTACCATGGGCTTCGAGTGGGAGCACACGGCGGTGCCAGACGAGTGGGAACTCATTATCTTGGGTGCGTCGTGGCTGTTATCGTTGTTGGTGGTGTGGTGGTGGTATGAAAAATATGTTGTTAAGCATGTGTCCTCCTTCTCTTTAGAAAGTATACGTAAGACCACAGAGCAGAAAGGATTAGAGGAAGACGGGGTTCAATAAGTGCGTCGAAGCCCTTTTCTGCGGCATGGTGAAGGTTGAGTTTAGGGAGCTGGTGCCGCACCGCAGGATGAAAGTTACGTAACTTGATCGTTGTACACTCAAACGGGTTCGGTTGTAGCCGCTGGCCATCATCGAGTCTATAATAGCACCGACACCCCGCTAGCAAGTTCACCCCGTCTCGCCTCGCTTACCTGGAACCCCCTTGTTGCCGGAATGAAGGGATCGGGGTGTTCTTCGGCATCCACGGGCATTCGCGAGTACCCATGAGGTTCGTCGTGCCGGCTGAGGAGCCCTGGCCGATGGAGATCTGGGGACACAAGCTGGGCTCGCGTATCGCGCAGATGAGGATGACGGGTGAGCGAGCGGGTGAAGAACCACACTCTTTTGTGTTGTGTCTCTTTGTTTGGTCTTGTTGTGGATGCCTAAGGGCGGGGACACCTTTGCCCACGTCCCCGGGTGTTGGCAGGCGATGTTGCCAGGGGACACGCTGAGCCCATCCCCGGGTTTCTGGTTTTCGGATGCAGAGAAAAAACATGGGCCTATCTAGGTCCATGGTCAACGCGTGGCTCGAGGGGCAGGTGACACCCCCCCCCCGTGTCACACAGCACACTCTCCAGTGGCTGAGTTTGGGGGCGGGGACAGCGTGGTATTATCCCCGGGGTTTCGATTATTGGCGATGCAGGGTAGTCGGTTTGTCGAGAGAAAACACGCTCGCCGCGGTCCAGGCCCTTTCTCTTCCTGTGTTTCCAATGTTTTGGCGTTTTTTTCGCTTCCGTTCCTTTTCGGCGCGTATCACTTCTGTTTCGTCCCCGCCGTCCCTCACCAGGGTGCCGTCTTGGTTTCGGAAAATATTGTACATCAAAACACAGAAAAAGACTGCCGGTTCGAGATGTAACGACAGTCATTCGAAGGAGATATGTTGGAGGCCTTTGCAGTCAATGGAAGAAAACCGGCTGAATATTTCCCTATTTTGAGTCTGTTTTTGCCTATACACTGAGTGACACTGGCGATGCCAGCTGGTGCTAAGCACGAAAACCATCTGTTTTGTTTCTCTCGTGGATCCCCTCCCCCTGTACGTGGGGTCTCTCGTGTCCCTGTGCCTTCCCCTCTCTGGCAGGGCGCTGGCTGGGGCAAGACGAGAAGACGACCGAAGAGAGGCGGACCGTTCTTGAGCAGTACGGGTTCGAGTGGCGCCTTAGGGTGAAGGACGACGAGTACGATGCTGATGGCAACCCGGAGGAGTTCTCCATTCTATGCGAAGGGTTGGAGGTGAAAAGCGATCAATGGGGTGGCACGGTGCATTTTTTGTTGCATGTTAAAGAGTCGGGTCACCGTGAATTTTTATAAAGTACCTAAATATGAACCTCACAGAAAGGCTTTTTTGTTGCGGGTGGAAAGCAATAGAGGGGTGTGGCGGTCACCGTGTATTTTGTTGCGCGCGAAAGCGACAGAAGGGGTTTTGTGATGGTCACGGTGTGTTTGGTTGAAGGTGAAAACTGGTAAGAGAGGCTGTGTGGCTGTCACCGTGTATTTTGTGGTGGTCACCTGTATTTAACCGGGAAGATGCATAGCTTGGGAAGGTTCGCCACGTCAACTCGTAAGTTTTGGATAGGACCTGTTAATAGCGTTCCTCCGTGGGAGGTTAGTCTTTGTTTTGTGGTGCATGCTTGGATGCGTTTTGCTGTTTCTCTGGAAGCAAGGTACGCCGTCAGTACATATTGCATGTACTGTCACTCGTTGTTCTTCGGATACTTTTGAACGGGCAGCAGTTCGCGTTGAATGTATTTGGTGTGTTGTTTTTGTCGGCGAAATTGCGCCGTGCGAGCCGTAGGGGCCGAAGAACGACGACCACTTGATTGATCTCGGCACGAGCTACGAAACGCGGCAGTCATGCCAGCAATCGATCGATACATGCTGGGCCCCCGATAACTCAGCTCTTGTATGATACGACGGCCGATCGCTTGATTGGTTCTGCGAAAACCCCGTGACAAATGCTTGCTTGCATGGACTAATGTCACAGGTGTACCGGGAGCTGGGAGGGTCCGTGCCCAACATGCCTCCGACGTGGGTGGTTCCGAACGCGGAGCCTTGGCCAATCAGAACACGGGGATTCCCGTTAGGGGCCCAAGTGCGGATCATTCGGTCTCGACAGGTGACGATTGTTGTTAATATTTTCATGGTATCGAACATAGTCGCAAGTGATTCCCTTGGATCGGAGGGTCGGTTGACGCTTGACGTGATATTTTTTTACGTCCGCGTGGGTAGGTTTTCTCAGTGTAGTTGATGCATGATGTGTGCAGCAGGTTGGCCTCATGCTGCTGGTGAAACGAAGGCGAAAGGATCCCAGCACCCCCAGTTGGCATGAACATGCTGTAGTGTACTGTGTCATGCGCTTGTGTCTGTGAAACGGCTACCATGCGTTCGCTGGGTCACACATCAAGCTACCACCCTGTGCTCTGTTGTCTCACGGCGCAGAAGCACCCGTTTATTCCGAATCAACGCAGTGTGACACCATCGCAAAGCTTAACAGCCCCATTGCTGCTGTTACTGATGATGCATCACGATTAGGACCGTCGGCGAAATCATGAAAAATATCGATTGTCAGAAAACGATGTTGGTTGTTGAATCACGAAAATCAATAATGGGTTATTTTTCAGAAATACGCCAAGGACAGCCAGGAGAAGACGGACATTTTGCTGGCCCTTGACGTGCCCATCAACCCCAACGTCACCAACGAGAAGCTCGGGGGGCGGTGGGGGGGACCCACGGAGACTCGCTTCAACAAGGTGGGGTGGTGTGGTGGTGACTAGCGTTACCGCGGCATGCTCGAGATTGTGCGTAAGAAAGAACGGTCAGCTCCTTAGTGGTGCTGAACAATGGTATAGAGTGCATCAAGTGTGTGGAGAAAGTTCGAGGAATGCCCGAAGAAGGGGTTGTTCGCTGGGTGGGTTGCAGTTTCTACCCTGGTCAATTGAGTGGACAAGCGTTTGGTTTTGGCCCTTGCCGCTTGTCCACGTGCTCCACGACCCATCGTTTTCATCGTGTCTCGCTTGCTGGCAACAACGTTTGTTGGCGATGGTTATCAGACCGTCGTCGAATGGACCATTTATTTGCTCCATACACGATCGTTGTCATCGTGGTTTACTCCCTGACAGCGATCTTTGTTGGCGATGTGCATCAGACACTTGTCGGATTAAAAGCACGTCAGAATTCCACCCGCAGATCTGGTTCTCCCCCGTACTGTAGTATCGCAGATTCCGTTTTCTCATTACGCCACGAACGTCGTTGCGACACCGTCTTGGTTATCATCACCCCGAACAAATATAAATGTGGAGGGAGGGCATGAAGCCAAAATTGTCGATGCAAGAAAACGTTTGAGGAAACGAGGTTCCGCCGCGTTCCCTCGTTTCCGACGTTCTTCCCTCCGCTAAAACACGTTTTCGTCTGTCTCCGAAACAGCTGTGCAAGGCGCTGGAGACTTTCGTTGTGCTCTACGGTCACGCGCAAGTGCCGAACACCTTCGAGGTGCCGAGGGACCCGAGCTGGCCGGAGGAGACTTGGGACGTGAAGCTCGGGAGGAGCCTCGTCAACATCGTCTCCAAGGTACAGCATGTACAGCATGTATATGCTTTTCAGGTTGATGTTACAGCAGAAGGTGTGAGACTAGGGGAGTATTTCACGATAGTGTTGCAACAAGAATGTGAGACCAAGCAAGTTATTTCAGGTTCGTGTTACGATAAGGTGCGAGACTCTTTGAGGTGCCCCGGGTTGTTGTTGTTGTTGTTGTTGTTGTTGTTGTTGTTGTTGTCTTCACATTGAAGACCTTTCCGGCCTTTGTTCTGTAGTATGCCTTCCACCACGCGTACACGTGTCTGTTTACGCGGACGCCTTCCGTGGTCCCAGGCCAACTAATGTACCCGAACAGGGTAAATAAACAACTCATGTTAATAATTCATCCTCTTGTGTCGTCGAGGCCCCACACCGCGTCAAACGCGACCAACCTCGATCCAACCAACTACCCTCAACACATGAACAGGTGTGAGACCATTCTAGGTTCTATCTCTCCTCTCCTTCTCTGTGTGTGTGTCTCTCTCTCTTGTCTTTGAGTTTGTAGCCTTGTAGAATTAGCACGCAGGACGCTTGTGTCTTGGTAAGCGTATTTTGGACCAAAAAAATACTGGACTTGTTACTGCTTCTGGCCTTTCACTTTTGTTTTGAGCAGGGAACGTTCATCAAGGGGTATCCAGACCGGCAAGCCAGGCTTGAGGCGCTAGGATTCGACACGGACGTGAGTATCATCCCATCAACCTGATGATAGTATCATCCCATCAACCTTATGATCGTATCATCCCATCAACCTTATGACAGTATCATCCCATCAACCTTCATATAATAGTATCATCCTATCTTTTAGTACAGTGTCACGCGCGTTTCCGTGTGGACAACGCTGTTGGCGAGGGTGCGACAAGACACCCCCTTCTTCGCGGAAGCATGCCTGTTGTTGTCTACGATGACTATGCACAATGAAGAGAGGAATGGGGGTGGGGAAAGATGAAGTGTGGTACCAGCAAGACTGTCTGCCAGGCACTTGCGTAACGTAAGGCAAGACTTGAGCATTCGGTTGCCAAATGTTTCCAACTCCTGTTGTGTGGACTAAATAGTCATATTCATATGTTCATACAGGCAACCGGTGCCATATCTATTTTTAGAAAGAAGTAGAAGTAAACGTGAGTGCATCGGCGTGCATAGGTCCATCTTGCTGTACGAATAGTCGCACACTTTGGTTTGGAATCAATCTCATCAGTCAAATGAACGCCGAACTACCTTGTGGTTGTGCTGCCCTGGATTCCGATGGTTTGCCATTTAGCCTGCGCTTGGTGTTTCTTGGGCTCCACCTACACCCGGTTTGTCAATGTATGCACAAAAATTGTACAACGGCATGCCCATCGACATTCTTGGGAAGGAGTGCGTTGGGATGACGCATGATCGACCGCATGCCGTGGGCCCACTTGTCTGTCTTGCTGTACCTCTTTCTGTACCCCCCCCCCCCCCCCTCTCTCTCTCTCTCTCATGTCTGACCTGACACGTTTGTTTGCTGTCGTTGTGGCCATTCCCAAACCTGGTTGTGCTGGACACATTGATGCGGTCTTCATCCTTCAGCCGGGAGGGATCAGGGGTTTCAAGGAGCTGGTGAAGAGCGGCATGTCTGAGGCCGACGCCCTGGCGGAGAGCCAAGCCTCGTTAGACTTCGCCAGCGAACCATCGGGGGTAAGCAGCAGCGTTGCTATTTGTTTGTGTCCGTCGCAGTCCGGGCGGTAGTGTACGTTGCCGACGTTAGTCTTGTTTTGTATCATGGCTCATAGTTCGTGAAATGCGGGAAGGTAAAGCACCGCAGGGGGGGTGGGTAGGGTACCTCAGGGAGCGAAACCCCTTTTCTGTGTGACGAACCACACGGATTGGAGTTAACAGAACGAATGCTGTGAGCGCTGATTTAACGTCATGAAAGGGAAAAAAAACTCGAGAGACTTCGACGATGTAGGGGAAATTTTTTCGTTTTCGGGTGTTAATTTGCTTAAAAGTCTAGCGGTGTATCGCTGTCGGTGGTGCGGGCAGCGCTTTGTGTCGATGTGTAGTTTGTGATGAGCAGCGGCCGCCGCTTACGGCATCTTGCAACATGGTTTGTACCAGTCGGAGCTCGAATCGTGCTAGCCGAAGTGTTGTCGCTCACCCCCCCCCCCGCCCCCTCCCACCTCTCCGCTGCTCGTTGACCAAAAGCTTGCGGCTACTGGGGGGGCTGGATCAGAGAAAACTGCCGAAATTGACTCCCAGATGCTGCTGGGCAACGTGGTGGACTCTTTGAGAACAGAGGGTGCGGAGGGCGGCAGCGGGAGGGGGGCTGGTCTGTCGTCGTCCCCTCCCCAGCTTGACGGAGAGGAGGTGAGAGAATAGAGGAGGGGTTATTGATTTGGTGCATTCTTGCTTCTGCTTTGCGGCGAGTGCGGGTTTCTGTGCGTGCATCGTACACGTTTCGCGATGTTTTTCTGGTGGTGTGTGTCTGTGTGTGTTTGGCCCGTCTGTCTATTCTGGCGCCGGTTTTACAGACCTTTCGGCGTATATACCTGACCTATCAGCCGGGGCCACACAAGAGGAAGGTCATACAGGAGCTTGTTTCATTTTTTTTGTTTCCGGATGGTGTGCGTGTAGACTTTTCTATACCTACAGCCGTATTGATATCCTTGCTCAGGGGCTGACGAACATTTGAACTGCAGCAGTTTACTATCCATCGATCACGAAGCTGTGCGCATGTTTGCTGCGAGTAATCACCCCCGAAGTATGTACATGTAGGACGTTCGTCTTCTTCTTGTCCATTGTTACAGTAACGGTAAGAGTTCGTTTGATGAGTCGTGAATGCGGGAATTCTCCGAGCTTCTTTGGTTGTTTTTTTCGCCCGAAGGCCAAGAGAAGGCTTCGAAGATATCGAGTGTTTTGCTCCGTCGAGAAGAGTTTTGCGGAAGCTCCGTCGGTACGTTGCTTCTCAGAACCGTGTGCACCTCGGGAATAAGTACATAGGGGCATGCACATAACGCGTTTGTGCCTGACTTTGTTTGCGAGTTGCTTGGAGAACTGGAGGACTACCTTGGTTCCGTCCCCTTCGTGACGAGACGTGAGATGTGCACTTCGGGAATAAGTACATCGGGGCATGCACACAACGCGTTTGTTCATGTGTGTGTGTGTGAGCTGTTTGGACAAACCGGAAGCATCTCATGGTTCCATTCCCTTCGTAACGAGACGTAAGCGAGCGTGACAATCTCACGTCTCGTCACGAAGGGGATGAAACCATGGGATGCCTCCAGTTTCTCCAAACAACTCACAAACAGAGTCAGGGACAAACGCGTTATGTGCGTGCCCCTATGTACTTGTTCCCGAGGTGCACACGGTTCTGAGAAGCAACGTAACGGCGGAGCCCCCGCAAAAGACTTGTCGACGGAGCCAAACTCACATACACGCAATGACAGAGTTGACGCACTGCCTTTGGCTTTCGCAATTTTTTCACGCCCCTCCCTAGCAACAGGATGACACGTTTGGCACGCAACATTTGGTCGCGCTGCTGTTGACTTTGACTTTGACTTTGGCACAAGTTTTCACGCCCCGCCTCCATTCGGTAAAGAACCCGGCAATTTTTGTGCGATGATTCGCAGGTAGAAGAAGGTGAATTCCTGGGGCAGCAGCCCCCGCCACCGCGGGCGATCGCGCAACCGAACTGGATGGACACGACCGAAAGCAAGGATGGCGATGACGATGACGATGCGGATGAGAAGAAGCCCGTGGTGCCCTCTTTCGTGAGTGTGCTTGCTCGCCCTTGGCAACGGGTTTTCTACCGCTCCCAGACTGCAAAGCCATCCCCTTCGACTTGTGTGGTATCGTTGTCTCGAACGAATTTGCTGTATTTTCTGTGATTGCATGTATAAATTATTCCTGAGAAGGAAGGAAGTAAGGTGTTGGAGACTTCGCCGCCGCTTGGTGACTGAAACACATCAATCAATCACTTTTTCCGACAGAAAGTACCGTACTTGTATTTGTAGTGAAGAGTGATTCCGTCCGGAGTTGGCTCGTCAGACAACAGCAGTGTCATCAGCGGGTGTTTGTAGGCGAACAATAATAGCAGGCGGCAGGACGAGCCCACTGCTGGCTGCCCGCTGCCCGTTGTTATGTTTCCCGAGCTCGAACAGCTATTTACCACACTAGCAGCTCATGGATTTTGACTCGAAGGGCCCAGCGAATCTAGACGAGCCAAACAAAACGAAAATACAAATCTGCGTGCTAGCTCGTAGTCCCTGTGCTGAGTCGTCTGTGGCATGTACTCTACGACAAGGATGCTTTTACGCAGACCAAACACGATGATGAACCACGAAGACTGACGTTCGAACGCCCGACACGCAGTAACCATCAAAGACGAACATCAGCAAACGACCGACGGTGCACCCCCCTCCCCCTCTCCCCTGCCTTTATGTGTACTGGC